ACTAGAAATGTTAGCTTTAGCAATAAGAGAAGAAAAAGGAATTATAGGAATTAGAATAGGCAATGAGGAAATAAAACTATCACTATCTGCAGATGAAATGATGTTATACTTAGATAATCCTAGAGAATCTACTAAAAAAACTACTTGAAATTATTAACAACTTGAGCAAAGATGCAGGATACAAAATAAACCCATATAAATCATAAATATTTCCATATATTATCAACAAAGTCCATCAACAAGAGATAGAAAAGAGAAATTACATTTAAAATAACTGTAGATAATATAAAATACTTGGGAATCTGACTGTCAAGACAAACCCAGGAACTATATGAATACAACTATAAAACACTTATCACATAAAGTCAGATCTAAACAACTGGAAAAAAATATTAGTTGTTAATAGGTAGGTTGAGCCAATATAACAAAAACTGACAATTATAACTAAATTAATCTGTTTGTTCTATGACATACTCATCAAACTATCAAAAATATTTTACTGAGCTAGAAAAAAAATAAAGAAATTCACCTGAAAGAACAAAAGCTCAAGGATATATCAAGGGAATCAATGAAAAAAAAAAGGTAAAAGGTGGTTGAACCACAACATAGCTCAAACTGAAGCAGTAATTATCAAAACAATTTGGTACTGGCTAAGAAATAGAGTGCTGGATCAGTGGAACAGACTAGGTACAAATTACAGTATAGTAAATGACCATAGTTATCTAGCATATGATAAACCTAAAGATCCAAGCTTTTGGAACAAAAACTTATTATTTGACAAAAAAACTGCTGGGAAAAATGGAAAAGAGTATGGCAGAAACTAGGTATAGACCAACATCTCACATTGTATACCAAGACAAAGTAAAAATGATTATATGACATATACATAAAGACTGATAATCATAAACAAATTAAGAGTGTGTGGAATTGTTTAACTGTAAGATTTATGGATAAAGGAAGAATTAAGGACCAAAGAAGATATAGAAAACATTACAAAATGTAAAAGAGAAAATTTAGATTATATAAATTTAAAAGTTCTTTTTACAAACAAAATCAATGCAACCAAAAATATAAGGAAAACAGAAAACTAGGGAAAATTTTTTTGCAACAATTATCTCTGATAAAGGCCTCTTTTCTCAAATATATAAAGAATTGAGTCAAATTTATAAAAATACAAGTATTCCCCAATTGATAAATGGCCAAATGATATGAACAGGTAGTTTTCAGATTAAAAAAAAATCAAAGTTATCTATAGTCATATGAATAAATGCTCTAAATCACTATTGATCAGAGAAATGCAAATTAAAACAACTCTGAAGTATCACTTCACACCTATCAGAGTGCTAATATGACAGAAAAGGAAAATGTTGGACGTTGGAGAGGACATGGGAAACTGGGACACTAATATACTGTTGGTGGAGTTGTGAACTTATCCAATCATTCCGGAAAGCAATTTGGAACTATACCCAAAGGGCAACCAAACTGTGCGTACCCTTTGATCCAGCAATACCACTGCTAAGTCTATATCCCAAAGAGATTTTTTTTAAGGGAAAAGGACCTATCCGTACAACAATATTTTAGCAGGTATTTTCATTATGGCTAAGAATTGGAAATCAAAGGGATGCCCATCAATTGGGGAATGGCTAAACAAGCTGTGGTATATGATTGTAATGTAATATTATTGTGCTATAAGAAATGACAAGCAGGATGATTTCAGAAAAACTCAAAAAGACTTACATGAACAGATTGACAGTGAAGTGAATAGAACCATGGCAACATCGTTCACAGTAAACAGTATTGTTTGATGAAGAACTGTGAATGACAGCTATTCTCAGCAATACAGTGATCCAAGACAATCCCAAAAGACTAATGATGAAGCATATGATCTGCCTCCAGAGAAAGAACTGATATTGATTGAATACAGACTGAAGCATGCTATTTTTCACTTTATTTTTTTCTTTTATTTGAGTCTTCTTGTGCAAAAAGACTAATATGGAAATGTTTTACATAATTGCACATGTATAATGCATATCTGATTGCATGCCCTCTCAGGGAGGGGGGAGGAAAGGGAGGGAGGAACAAAAATTGGAACTCAAAACTTTAAATACCATTGCTAAAAAAAAAAAAAAAAGAAACAACATAGTGGCCAGCTCTGCCAATCAAAAAAGAAAGCATTTTGAATAGGGAATGCTAATAATCAAATACTAGAAATTCTATTCTCTTACTCACCTTTCATTCCACATAGGAACTGTCAATTAACTGCTAACTGCAAGCTGCTACAATATTACTATATTCTAATAACCCTGTCCTACCCTCAAGCTACCAGTGGTTCAGGGTGCAGAGACAGTAGAATTTATTTTAAAGCTCTGTCACCCTGCCTCTCAGAAACATAGAAAACCATTTTTAAAAGAAAAATCATTTTCACTGATATCACTGCCTCTATAGGGTTCCTTTTCCCACTTTAAAGTACAAGAAAATTGGTGAGAAAAGGAAAACTAAACACAGGAAAATAAGCACATTTATTCTTCTAAGAAAATAATTTTCTGGTTTTTAATGGATTGATAACAATCATTCATACTCAACAAAGCTATAACCACTTCATATATTTCCCTTTTTCCCTTTAAATTTTGATATTAGATGTATACCTTGGTAGTTAATATTACAGCTAGCTAACATTTGATTTCTATGACAGCCTTCCAATTGCACTGCTATTTTGATAATACTGCCTCATCTGTTCTCAGATTTGCTCTGCAAAACACTTCTTATTATATCATGCTTATAATGGGTACTCAAATATTTGTTAAAATGTCGATAATACTTTTCTCACCTAAGTCGAATTCCATACACTCAAATGAGCAAAAGATACCCATAGGAATGAAAATGTAAGATCAGCCTATGTTGATACACTGTTTGTGATTTATTATATAATAAAATGAAAAGTACTTAGGCATAATAAAATGAAAAAGAAACTCAGATAAAAGCCCTGTATAAGTACTGTATTACTAGAAAATATGAACATAAAATACAATCTTTCTTAAATCCCTAAAAATCATCAAAATAAATGCATGGCATTTAGCAGATTTGCACAAAGTGTATTTTTAGACTATCATTTTGTTTTTTTATTAAATGCTTTACAAAGTTATATAGAACAAAAAAACTGTCTAAAAGTGATACTTAGTAACTCAAGGTCTGATTGAAACCTATAAAATTCGGATAACAAGGTTCACGACTATCAAAACAACAGTTAAGTATGTTCTTAATTAGAAACATTATAAACATCTCTTCCTTAACTCAGAATATTAAGAATTATAGATTTTAAGTCACTTTACTTAACCACTTAAGTGATAAAGATTTCATACTGGAGATATATTTCAAATTTTTAAAACATTTATATTATGTAGTACCCTAAAATTTAAGGCTTTGATGTTTGTATATATGTATCACATATATAATAATGTATGTATATAACATATACATGTCACATATATATCCACACACATATATACATAAATATTTAGGTAACATAAAAAAGTAGTGAACTACTAATTAGATTACAGTAAGTAACAAAGCTCAAGTGACTATGAAAAAATGAGAGAGAACCAGCAAAAACCCAACAGAACATGAAGAGTTGAAATAGGACAGAAAACACTTCTACACTGAAGTTTGTATTTTAATTATTAAAACAGAGGGACATAAATAGTTTTCCTGTTGTGGAAATCCCATTACTGAGCTCACAACACAATATGTATTTTTGTATCAGTGTCGGCTATTATATAACAGCTAAAACAAAATTTTCAAGAAAATAAAAAGAGTTTTTCCCCCTATTCTACTCTCTCTTGTTGCTGGTTTAGACTTTCTCAGGCTCTTGCTGGATTATAAACAGTGAAAAAGATAAACAATAGAGGCAGCTAGGTGGCGCAGTGGATAGAGCACAGGCCCTGAAGTCAGGAGGACCTGAGTTCAAATCTGGCCTCAGAGCAAACACTTGACACTTACTGACTGTGTGACCCTGGGCAAGTCACTTAACCCCAATTGCCAAAAAAAAAGATAAACAACAGCAATAGAACAGAAAAAATATGAACATTTCATTCAAACTGGTATATGTAAACTAAAGACTTTACGCATAGAAAAAAGGATCAAATGAATGAGTGAACAGATAGCCATTTTGTAGAATAAAGAGTGAAGGAGTCATAAGAAGAAATTACCCACTCATTCAGTTGTATGACAAATATTTCACATACAAGGTAAAATTAGCTAGATATAATTGATATTAATTTACTTAGCACCCTAAAATTTGAGGCTGTGATTTTTTAAAATAATATGAAAAAATGATGTTTCTTTTCACATCTTTTCACAACCCTATCCCTCCTCCTTTTGAATTATTGAGAAGAATAAATAATATTCTTGCCTCAAGACATATCATAAAGTAAGAAATGGCATTACTAAACTACAGTGGCAAGGGGAGACGTAAGAGAGCCAGAGAGAAGGGGAGCACCTAAAGGTTTTGCCCTCATCTTGAGAGATGGTATGAAAAAGTGGAGAACCCTAAATGACTGTCTTCACCTTGTCTGGAGCACCATATAGGAAATCATGAAGAAATACATAAAGAGTCAAATAATTTTTAAAAAAAAACCTACCACAAAGGACCAACCTGCACTGTACTATGGATAGAAACAGGTTTTGGGAGGTTGAGGGCGTGCATAGATTTTACCAGAGAAGCTCTCATTTTGAGTATTGTAAGTTATTTCAGTGATTTACATATATTTTTGGAACTAATAACTGCTCATTCAAGGGTATCTTTTATTTTTCTTCTAAAACTCTGCTGGATAATAATTTACAAAATGAGGAGTTGATTTCAGTATGGTTACCAGGGTAGGACCATGCAAACTTAACATATCTCCAAATGTCCTATGAAGGTACAGTGACTCAAAAAAGCTTACTCTTAATGTTATGACAGTCTCTAGCACCAGAATTACACATCTGTTGTTCACATACTATACCTTATCCAGTCTTTCAACAGGGTCACAAGAAGAACTTGTGCATGCATCAGGTCTTGTTGTCACATTTTCTATAGGGATAACTGAAAAAATGTGTAACATTATATCAAGGCTCTAAAGCACTAATACTCATTAAAAGGGCATCAAATTTAAAAAAAAATGTAGCAGGCCTAAGATGTTGCCTCCTTAATAACTAAATTAACTGTAACAGGGCCTATTGCCACACCACTGTCTTCAAAAACAAACATAATCAGTTTTGCTAGGGACAAGCTAGACTACATACATTTAATACATTTAAAAATCAACTTCACTCTATGAATTGCTTATAACAAACTGCTAATGTGAATAATTTTGGTGTAAAAAAAATCTTATTTGCTCAAATGAAGGATTTTCAGGTTTAATCTTGCAAAACATTTCAAGTTTCTTTTCCATTTCCTTTATGAAATTGTTTCATCAGTCCCCTTTACTGATCTGTGCTTGTTTCTCTAATAGCAATTTAATCCCTTTTCAGAAAGCAGTTGTCTGGCCCATTTCTGTTGCATGTAAATGGATTTTTCTTTGAGGGTTCCTCTTAAAAATCTTCCTCTTCATACTTACATCTGCCATAGTAATGTTTATCTTTTAGATTTTCAGTCAGTACCTACTATGCCGAAATAAAAACAGAATTTTGGTTTAAATTATAAAGATAATTTGGGTTAATAATAAAAAACCCTCTATGGTTGAGCAGGAATGTCTTAATTTCGTGTAGATTGATTATCTATACTAAGCAGCTTCACAGGATTATTGCTCAAGTTTATTTTTTCTGTATAGACCTTGAAATTATTTTCTGCACAGTTCTCACTACTCAAACTTCAGTTTTGGGCCTGGTGGTTAGCCAGTCAATAAACTTTATTGAGTTCTTACTGTAGAAAACTATAGTTTTCTAAAAGAATCATGGGGAGATACTACTTTGAGTTTCTAATTGTCTGGGAAGCCAGAACATAGAAAGTATGATCATAAAACAATGGAACTAATTCCAAAAAGTTAAACACAAAAATGAGTCCTATAATTGTCATGCTTGACAGTCATAAAAGATCTAAAGAATCTATAAGTGAATACATAAACTCACGTAAACTAATATAGGGTAAACTACGTGCTGAAGATTCCTTTAGGAAGTTTATGTTATATATTTCTGACACTCAGAAACATGTGTATTATTATTTTCCCTTCTGCCCATTCCCTTCTAAAAGTCTCTCCAGGGAAAACACAGGCTATAAGATACTAAGTCTGGGATTCCTGCCCTGCTTATTCAACAGCAGGCTTTAGCCTAGGGTTAAGGCTGAAACTGAGTCTCTGCTCTGATCCCGGGATCGGAGCCACATAGCTATACCGTTTGATTCTAAATGTGTTCCTTCCTCAGTACAGCCCTGCAAATGCTACCCTCTAGGTGTATGTCCCTTCCTCAGTCAACCCTGGATCTGTAACCCAGAACTGGGTAGTGGGTGACACAGATTCCAGACGGCACTCCTTCCTGCATCCTGCACTACTTCAGTGATCCCCTGGAATCACTTCCTACCCTAATATGTTCTGCCTTGATGCCCAGCCTCAGTTCTGGGTGCTAGAATACTCTATATCTGGTACATTCAGGGCCAATCCTGTCTGTCTCCCTAAGCTGACTTGGGCTAAAACTATGACTCACTGTGTTTTTTTCTTAGATTTCCCTATCAGAATTTGGTCTGGTATTTTTTTCTTCTATGCTTTTGTGGAGAAAGTATGATGGAGGAATTCGGCTATCCTTACTGCTACTCTACCATATTGACTTCACCTTGAGCACATTCATCTGTTCTTTGGTATATTATAATCTATATAACTCCAACAATTTTTTGCTATTTTGCTTGGGTAAATTGGTTTACGTGGTATTGGCTATTTGTGATTGCCTTTTGTGTAATCAGTGTTTGATAGGAAGGGGTTAAGCTAGCGAATGTAAGTTAAGAGATATTAACAATCAAGGAAGTGGTTTCTGATCTAACCCTACCAAGGATGGGGAATTTGAAGCCTCAAGGCCACATGTGGCCTTCTAGGTCCTCAGATGCGGCCTTTTGACTGAGTCCAAGTTTTACAGACCGAATCCTTTTATTAAGGGAATCTGTTCTCTAAAGTTTGGATTCAGTCAAAGGGCCACACTTGAGGATCTAGAGGGCCACGTGTGGCATCGAGGACATAGGTTCCCCACTACTGAACCATACTCCTAGACCAGAGATATTAGGGAATGGCAAGTAGTTATACTTCTAACTTAATATGCCACTTAGAGAATAGAAGATTGCACAGCCTCAGCTACCCCAAGAACCTGCCTGTCCCTCTCCCCAACTAGCATGGAGGCATGATACTCGCTTCTCTGTAGAGGCAAGACAGAACTACATATCCATTCTACTCTTGGGCCACCTACAGAGTCAACCTAAACATAGTATTACATGCGGGCACATATCTTACAGAGGATAAACTAGATCCACATCATTCTTTTCACCTATTAATTTAGTAATCCAGCCCAAAAAAGGAAATGAGGCTCACAAACTATACTATAAAACAGTAATCATCAAAATGATTTGTACTGGTTAAGAAATAGGTTGTTCATGATGGAGTCTGAATGCAGATTAAAGCATAATTTTTTTAACTTTATTTTCTTGGGGATTTTCTTGGTCTATATTTTCTTTCACAACATGACAAATATGGAAATGTTTTGCATAACTACACATGTATAACCTATATCAAATTGCTTGCCTTCTCAGGGAAGAGTAAGGATTGGAGGGAGGGTAAGAATTTGGAACTCAATTTAAAAAAAATGAATGCTAAAATTATTTTTTGTATTTATTATATAGGTTTTCTTGAAATAGAAATTTATTGTTTCATAGTGAATCATCTTCTATGTTCTGCCGTGTAAATGGCAACATTCTTATTTTTCCTTTTCTTGTTTTGTATTTAAGTTTAAAATGAATAAAAATTTACCAAAAATGAAAAATAAAAATAAATTGTTTTTACATGTAACTAGAAAAAACCTTTTTAAAATAAGAAATAGTTTTTATTGATATTTTGGGGAATAAGCATTTATATAGTACCTACTATGTGGCAGGCACTGTGCTAAGCATTTTTTACAAATATTATCTAATTTGATCCTCATAACCACCCTGCAAGGCAAGCGCTGTTATTTTCTTCATTATAATTAAGGAAACTGAGGCAGAGAGAAGTTAAATGACTTACCCAGGACCCCACATCTAATAAATGTCTGAGGTCATATTTGAACTCAGGTTTTTCTGACTCTAGGCTCAGCATTCCATCCATTGTGCCACCACTTATCTCAATAAATACATTAGTTATACAATTGTAGAAGGAAAAGAGAACAGTAGCCTAGTATCTGAGAAATCCAAATATTCAGGTGTTAGGGTAAGAACTCATTATTCCATAAGGACTGCTGAGAAAAATAGAAAGAATATCTGGCAGAAACTAGGTATAGAACAACATCTTAAACCCTATAACAAGATAAGTTCCAAATGAATATCTTACTTAGATCTAAAGAATGACATAAAAAATTAGAACAGCAATGAAGAAATTGCTTCTCATAAGAAGAGAAAGAGTACATGGCAAAAGGACAAAAAAGATCACAGAAGACAAAAGAGACTATATTGATTACATAAAAACAAATGGTTTTTGTATAAACAAAACCAATACAACTAAAATTAGGAGAGCAAGTAGCTGGAATATGTAGAGAATTAATTCAAATTTATAAAAATAAAATCCATTCCCCAGTTGATAAATGATCAAAGACTATGAAAAGGTAATGTTCAAGGGAAGAAACATAAGCTATCTGTAGTTACATGAAAAATTATCTAAATAACTAATAAATAGAAAAATACAAATTAAAGTATATCTGAAGTTTTACCTCATACCCAATCAGGCAAGGTTGATTAAAAAGGAAAATGACAACTGCTGAAGAGACTATGGGAAAACACATATACTAATACCCTGCTAGTGGAGTTGTGAATTGGTCCAGCCATTCTGGAAAGCAATTTGCAACTGTAGCCCAAAGGTTACTAAACTAGATAAACCCTTTGACCCAGCAATACCACTTTTAGGTCTAAATCCCAAGAAATCAAAGAGTGGGAAAGGACCTATACATAAAAAATATTTAAAGCAGCTCTTTTGTATGGAGGTCAATAACTGGAAACTAAGTGGGTGGCCATAAATTGGGGAGTAGGATACAATATAATAGTAATATCCAGTAAGGAATAATGAAGGAAATATTAAAAATCTGGGAAAAATTTCTAAGCTGATGCAGAGTGAAGTGAGGAGAATCAGGAGAACAATTTATGTAATAATAACACTGTAAAAACAAATTACTTTGAAAGTCTTAAGAACTCTGATTAATACTATTACCAACAACAATTCCAGAGGACCCATGATGCAACATGCTACATGCTACATGTATTAGGTGTAGACTGCCACGTTTTATGGACATGGTCAATAACAAAATTATGTTTTGCTTGACTTCATATTATGAGGATTTTGTTTTGCTTTGTTTTGTTTTCAAAGGGTGAAGGGATATAGGTGATGAAATAAATAGAATGGTGTACATTAAAAACAAATTTAAGGAAAATAAGGTTAGTCTGATATGACCTATTTTTGATGAAGTCATGCTGGCTCTTTGTAATTAGCATTTACTGGGGCAACTAGGTGGTACAATGGATAGAGCACTGGCCCTGAATTAAGGAGGACCTGAGTTTAAATCTGGCCTCAGACACTTACTGTGTGGCCCTGGGCAAGTCACTTAACTCCAATTGCCTCCAAAAAAAGTAATTACCATTTATAATACTTTCACCAACTATATGTTAAATTTATTCTAGAATTTTTCTAACTATAGAAATCAAGTTCACTGGACTGTAATTTGCAGGCTTATTTCTCTTTCCTTTTTTTGAAAATCAGAACATTAGTCCTCCAATCCTATAGTACCACACTCCCATTTTCCATAATCCTTCAAATATTAGTGACAGTTTCTTAGTAATCACATCTGCCAGTTCTTTTAGGATCCAAGGACTTAAGTTTTTCAGGGACA